AACATTGCTTGTGGGACATCAATTCCCTAACCCTGGCTAGTAAGAAACAAAACCATCACAAAATGCAAGCCGAAATAAAAAATGACATAGCATTCTTGTATCATACCTTATTCTCTAGTTTTATGGGCAGGAGTAAGATTGATCCATCAAATGCACGTGTCTTGCCAATGAGCTCCTCGTGCTGGAAGAGCAGAGCACAGCGCAGGCGCCGAGCCTCCACCTCAGGGTTGTAGTCCACGTGGTACTGGTACAGAGCCCACTGAGGCCGAGACGTCATCCGGAAGTGATTTGTTATTAATTTTATCGTCCTACCCATCACACCTAAAACGAGAGGAAAACATCTCAGCAGTTACAAAATGTTAGCACTTTACAGTCATTCAGCAGCTGTAAGAAATGTTTTAAAATTGCAGCACTCAGACAAGGATTAGAGGTGAGTTGTGTTCTCAGCTGTTCTAGCTCGGGGAGCTATGGCATGGGGTTAGCACACACATTCACCTGCTCCTCAGAGCTTTCTGCAGCTCCTTCAGTTGTCAGGAAAACTCTCACAACACTTATCTTTTCCAAGTACGCAATAAAGATTTTTTTTTTAACTTGGTTCTCTAAGGGATACTAAAAAGAGAAAGAAAGGAAAACTATTTTTCATTCCAACTTGCTTATATGTCTATAGTCTAATCTAAACATACCAGTTTTTGAGTCTTTCACATGTACCATGGTTTGCCGAGTGTTCACCCCAAGGTCATAGAAATCTCTACGACGTCCACCCCTTTCTGACAGGGACAGATCCTGGAGTCCCAAGGAAACCTGTAATCCTATTGGTTTGAAGTTGGAGGAAGAAGAATTACAATCAAGTAATATATATTATATACATTCTTTTGTATTACACAAATAGGAGTTAAGTACAATTCAATTTTGAAAGGCACAGAGACATATTTAAGACACTATATATATATATATATATGTGAGAATTCATGAAATGTTACGTTTTAGCTTTTACAGCATAGCAAACATCTTAGACTAGAATCCAAGGAACATACACTAACTTGCAGGATTAAGAATTCCTAACAGACAGTTAGCTAGTAAGCAAATAGATCAGCTTGATGCTGATGCAGGATGCCCAAATAAAAAGATTTAAATCCCCCAAATCAAGTATCTCCTCTGCAAATACAGGGAGAATAGAGCTTTCTTTTTAGCTCCAGCTGCACCAAATTAAAATACACTGTCATGTGAAATAGGTAAGAAAGTTTAATTTCCTTATTAAGGTTTCAAAAAAATAATGAAGTATCAAAATGAAATTTACTATTGGTATTCATGCAGTTAATTGTGCTGACTGTTTTGCTAGAGGAGATGGTATAGATGAAGTAGAGCACCCTGAAGGTAGTTTCCAAAACTCTTGGTTGGATTATACTGCACCTTAGAATGACAATGCAATCAACACAAGGTATATACTGTCAGCTTTTCCAAATCTTAGTAATACACCTCATTTTGAAAAGAAAAAAGACAGTTTAAAGAACATCTTAATTGCATTCTCTCCAAAACACATGCTCTCGTGGGTAGTGAACTTTTTCAGAGTTTCTGACCTTCAGGTTTTCTCTCTCTGATGTTTCTTGGGCCAGCCTGCAATCCTTTCTGTCGCCCATGGCCACCAGGTTCTTCTGCCACTCTTGGAGGGACACTACGTGGATGGTAGCTTGGCAGCTCACCTGGCACTCTCTTCTTAAACTGTTAAGGGTGGGAACAACTTTTCCTACTGCAGCTGTTGCTTCCAAGAGTGCAGCACAGCATTCACTAAGCACAGAATACTCAAATATCCAAGTGTAAGAGTTACATTAAGTTTAAATATTTTCTCCTATATTAAGTAGCACTAATTGTTCTACAGTTTAAACTCAAAAATAATGGGGTTCAGGAATTTTTTTGTAAGTTAATATTCATTTCACTAGTAGTTAATGCAAATCTCTTTCCAAGCTCTAATTAAAATGTACAGACTTCTCATTTTTAACAACTCCTTTAATAATTCAAGTAGCTGACTGCTTGTTTTATAAAAACAGATTTTGTCATTTTAATACCTAGTATAAATAACATCCAAAAGTGTCATTCCTGGAAGAACTGCAACACACAACCTTCAGCCACAAGCAATCCCACAATTCACTTTCATGTTACTGGATCACAGTCTGCCCCACAAGTCAGTCCCTCCAGGAGTAACCAAGATCTCTAAATGTAAGCAAACATGAGGTCAGTATGAAGGATCATGATGAAAACTGAGCTAAAAAGTCAGCCTGGCTCTGTCTTGTCCTACAACATAGCAGTAGGAACATCCTGAATCAGTGCCACACGACCTGCCAGCAATGCAGTCCTGGAGTTTCCCTGTCCCTTTGCTCTCAAAGCTCTCAGTCTATGTCTTGTGACTCCCACATGCACATTCTGACCCAGAACCCAAGATAAGTAACTAATCAGTTCTCTCTGCCCTTACACTCCCCACCTTATTTTTACACATTGTAAGATCTGTCAAAAGTTTACCCTCTAAGAACACCCATAAGCACTGCTGCAGGGATCAAATGCACTCAACTCTGAAGAGTATCTCAAAATTCTCAGAGTCCAGTGCTACCACAGGAATAGCGTATCACCACAAGTTTTGTGCTCCCTATGGTAGTCATAAAAGTAGTCCAAGGAAGTTCAGTTCTAATTTGCTTCTCTCACCTACACTCTGTCCTTGCCCCTGAAGGAAGAAGGAATATCAACTATCTGGATTCTCTAGCCCAACAGTTAAGCACAGAGCCCTGTTATCCTGAGCTGACTATATTCCTTCCCTGTGAAAGGATATGAGCACAGCTCCATGTCATTATTCATTCCACAACTTCTTTTCAACATGTCTTTGGAAACATTGCTGGAACTAACCCTCTTGAACAGAGATACACACAGTTCACATGATACAACTGTGGTTGCCTATACAGAAATACAAAGCCAAACCAGACTTTTCTCCACTCTAATTTCACCAATATCCCAAGTCCATGTAAATTTTTTAAGCCTTACCATTTCCTTTGCTTCCCTCTTCCCTCAGAGTAGGACACTGATATCACCTCCTGACTTCTGCTAACAATTCAACTCAAGTCAAAGAGACCAAGTTGGAAATTATCAAGTCTCTTAGGTTTACAAATTCACTTCCAGGTACAAGAGATGCACCAGTGTTACTACCAATACAAGACAGATTGCACTGTTTGAGAAACAGAACTGTAAATCACCTTCTCTCACTATTTAAACTCATCTGACACTGGGAAGAAAAGGACTAGGAAACTCCTCCAGTCTACTACATTTGCAAAGATGATCATTAATAACTGTCAAATTAAAATTAAAACCAACAGGAATAGGACAGAACACTTGCCAGACCCAGGATCTGCCCAACATGTGCTGTTTTTCTGCAGGGTAGCACAGAGGACAAAGCAGGCTATGAAAATATCTTGTTTCCACTAGCTTTATTGCAACAACTGTATTAGAATAGTTGTAAGCACAGAAAATGTCCTTAATAAAAAGGAGTTATATTAACTATAGAACTAACATAATATGTGCATATACACATGTATCATCTAACATATATGCCTGATATCAAAATAGGAAGTAGTCTGGGTATGACATAGTCAAGAAGCCTAGTTGCACTCATTAAAAATAAACCCAACTACTTACAGATGTAGTTCCTACAGCAGGAGGAGCAACTGCTTCTTTTGGAGGTCTTCCTCTGGCTCTGGCTCTAGCTCTTCCCGACATCTTCTAAAACAACCAACCTGCAGCATTACTGTTCCATCTTCTCCTTCCCCACCCTCATCCCAATATTATGAGCAGCACTATGGCATTTGCTCTGTTTCAATTTCAACTGGCTGAGTAAAGTAGACCCTTCTCTGCAGAATTCCCTGCTCTTAGACCTCCACACGAACAGAGCCAAAATGGATGGTGTGGGGGAGCTACACAGTCTCACAGTCAGGTCTGAACCCACTGGCACAGGCCACTGCAGACTGTGAAGCTGTTAAGTCAGCTAGACTGGAGAGCATGGCAGGAGCTGCAGCCTCAGCCACAGCTCAGAGTGTTCTCAGGTTATTTTCAAGCTACACTGGAGATTCCATTCAGCCCCATTTTGCTACACCAGGAGCAGTCCACACTTCACCCACAGCACGTGCTTACAGCTCCTCACAGCCTCTCCCCACCACAACGCCCTTCCTTCCCGCACAGGCGTGGCCTCAACTCTCTTAGCCCAGAGCAGCGCGTGGCGCCAAAACCCGCACCCAGATCCTCCTCGCGCCTGCTGCCCTGGGCCTCCACCAAAACCCGCACCTAGATCCTCCTCACGCCTGCTGCCCTGGGCCTCACCTTAGCTGCGACGGGGCACCACCAGCGGGTCCCTTCAGCACCTCGCGGGGTTTTGTCCCCACTAAAGGCAAGTCCGGGAGCAGAGAACCGCGACCGACACCGATATGAGCGCCACGTCCTGCCCCGCGCCCGCAGCGCGATGGCGGCACGAGGCGCCGAGACGAGGCGCCAAAGTACGCTGAGCGCTGATTGGCTGCTGGGAGGCGAGCGCTGCCGAGCGCTGCCGAACGGACACGAAGATCCACGAAGATTGACAAAGGGAAGCGAAGAGAAAGAGCCGAAAAGAGCCGAAAAGAGCCGAAATAAGCCGAAGAGAGCCGAAGAGAGCGGGCGGAGCACTTCCCGGCCCGCGGACACTTCGCCTCACGTCGCTCTCGTTCTGTTCGCCTCATGTCGCTCTCGAGCTGTTCGCCTCACATCCCTAACGCGTTATTCGCCTCATGTCGCTCTCGAGCTGTTCGCCTCACGTCCCTAACGCGTTATTCGCCTCATGTCGCTCTCGAGCTGTTCGCCTCACGTCCCTAACGCGCTGTTCTCCTCGCCTCAGGGCCAGGGCCGCCCCCCCGCGCTGCTGAGGGAGCGCTGCGTGTCACTTGTGCTGCCAGCGGAGAATGTTCCCCGCTAAAACTTCCTCCTCGTCCCACTCCTTGCTTGAAATAGAAGTTTGGGTTAACCAGAAGGTGGAGCAAGAAAGCAAGGAATAAAGCTCCTCGAGTTGTGCCAGAGAAGGGCAGCGTCGCTCGGCTTAGAACAGTTTACAGCCAGGGCATAGCTTAAACTTGTTCCTCCCGGACAAGCGCAGACAAGCCCTTGGCAATGGACACTGATCAGCGGTGATGTGACACAGTCTGGCTGAGCACCCGCAGTTCAAAACCCGCGTTCAAAACTCACTGCACTGAGGCACGTTCTGCAGCAGAGCAGCAGAGTGGGAAAAGCAACTTTTTCTCAGTGCCAAGGCTGTCCCAACTGCTGTAATTGTGGCAGGGAATCACAATTTGTGTTTTGGACTTCACAACAGAACTAGCACAATTTATGACTGGGAAATAAACAGCCTGAAGTAGGAATTAATTCTGTAGCAAGCTTTTCCATGCTTCTGTGGAGATCATAGAATGAGAGAATCAACCAGGTTGGAAGAGATCTCCAAGATCGAGTCCAACCCTACCCTGGTTACTAGACCATGGCACTAAGTGCCACATCCAGTTTTGTCTTGAAAACTCCCAGGGATGGTGAATCCACCACCTCCCTGGGCAGCACATTCCAATGCCTGAGGATGTCTAGACAGCCCCAAGACCCAAGTGCACCATTTCTGTTGGTTTTAAGTGTTACAATCTTTCCTGAAAGATTAGATGGCTGGCATGTGTTTGGAGACACTGACTTCAAGGGCTAAGAGATTACTTGATTAAATACTTACCTAATTAAAAACTTTATAAAAGACCATCTGTTCTCATGAGGTCATTTGCAATTTTTGAGGTACCTGCAGTGAGGACAAGGTTCTTTTTCCTTGTTCTCTGTTATTCTGGGTGACACTGTTAACACTGATACTTAAATAATACAGCTATATCTTTTTGTTTGATTTACATTGTCAGTTTGTCCACACAGCCAGTTTTGTTGTGCTTACTGATGTCAGCACAGCAACCTACTTAGGAAGCCAAATTCTCCTTGTCGAGTTAAACAGAAGAGCTTTCCAACTACCAAAGTGTGGATGCTGCTGCTTAAAGATAGCTGAAGCACCTTTAGCATGCAATTTTTATTATTCACATAGAAATCTGGATGAGTATTTCACAAACTCAATACGTACACTTAGATGGGGCATGTTCAGAGCTTTTAAGAGCAGTGGTTACTCCTTGCCATGGGCTCTTCACCCACAGTGGCAACTTTTACTGCTCTGTCGCCTGGAGAACTCTCCAGTGGGTCAGAGGGCTAAAGCTAAAGAAACACAATATGCAGATTTTCTTGGCTCAGCAGTATTTAAAGATAAACAGAATATAAAGATGTTGTCAAAGTCATTTACGTTATGTAAATCATGAGCAAGCAGAATGTGTGTGTTGGAAAGAGTTATGTTTGTTTATTCATTTAAAATATCTGCCGTGCTTAATGTTTAATTTTTTTTAATGCCAAATTCCTTACGTTTCGCTGCAGAACTTAATTATCTTTAGAAGGGAGTTGTTAAAAGCACTTAATCAGGATGGCTACCTACAGCAATTCCTTAGAAAGTGAAAATAAACATCAACAATAAGCAGCCTCATTTTTATACGTGGGCTGTCAGACAGTTAATTAGTGCTTAATGAAAGATAGGTTCCAATTTGGTTTTCACAGCCTTTCAGGCTTGCTTTTTTTTTCCTAGCAATTTAAGCCCAGTTAAAACTGCCTGTGCAAGTAGCTCTAATGGCTTTCCATAGTCAGAGGAAAGGTGGAAATGGCAACACACCAATTGCAACATGTCCAGCATGTCCTGAGCCCAGGCTGGTTCACAGGAGCACTGAGGAAAACAGGAGTTTGAAACTGGGAACTGTTTGCATTTTATTCTTTGTGCTGCCAAAAGCTCTCCCAATTCTGCACTTCAGCACCTCGAAATATCACATATGAAATACTGTGTTTTTCACAGCTTCTTGGCTTGGGCTCTGCTTTGATGTTTGCTTTACCCGTGATGCAATTGTTTTTGCCTTCTGTCTCCTGTTGCTACAATAAGCCATTTCCCATACATGTCATCTCCAAAGGGGAAAAGACCGCATGGAAACAGAACAAAGAAAACAGAACAAAAGAAAATCAGGGATTTTTCCAAAGGCCCATTTGATGTACAAGTATAAACAGGAAAAAGAGGCCTGAGGAGGTAGGAGCCAGGAACTGTACCAGCAGACAGCTGTTAACTTGTGTAGTGAGCAGCACTTTGGGGTTCTGAATGGTAAATAAATAAGTGATTCCAGTGCAATGAAGAAAATACTTCACTACCTTGAGTGTAATGTTGAAGTGTATTGTAAAGTTCTCACGCTGTAAGCTGAACTCTTACCTTCTTGTATTTCTTGTGACACCCTGTCCGGGTATCAATAGCTCTGTTGGTTCTAGCCCCAGAAGAGTCAACACCTTGAGACAACAGAACAAGGAGCATTATCTGCTGTGATGAACAAGAGAAAATGAGGAACCCTTCAGAGCAGAACTCACGTGTGCAGCTAGACTTCTAAAAGCCCAACATGTTGCTGCTGAATCTTATTAAATATTTGTGAAGAAGCTTTCAAATATGAATTGCTCAAAAAATAAGCGTTGAAATTCGAGTTCCTGTTGTAGGTGTTAAGTATTCACAAATCTGGACAACAGTGTTTTTACATTCTTAGTTTTTTTCTCATGTGAGAGAGACAAAGTTTTAAAGACTGACTTAGTATCTGAAATAGTATCTCGTGAGTTGTTACTTCATTCCAATGCAAGTTTTTAATATCACATTTGATTTACTGCAATGATGGTGGGATAGAGGAACTGATGTGCCTACACAGTGGAGCCTGATTTACTCACTACCTTGGGTAGAGTTGGGGGAGGGGCAAGGAAACTCCTGTTACACACCAAAATGGAAAGCAAAAGGAATGTTACAGGAAAAAAAAAATTGCTACTAAGGAGATAATGCCCAACTCACTGCATAACAAATATCATGAAAGTATTTATCTCTCAGGAAGAGGGACAGTAAATTTTTCTACTCTGTATTTCCCCTGCTGTTCTCTAGTCTATTTTTTTCACCCCTAATTTCTGGGATCTTTTTCCTTCAGATCCTTACTTCTTTTGTCTGAGCCCTTATTCTTTGTAACTCTTCTCTTAAAACATCACTCACTCTATTCTTGGAACCTGTGCAGGACTTTTCTTCTGTTCCCCTTGACAACAGTGTGTTTTGTTTCAACAGAAGCAAACTGGTTTGGGGTTCTGTGTTCACTGCAGTTATCATCACTGCTCATTCCAAGCCCTGTTTTGTCAGACTGTGCCCTCAACCCTCTTTTCCTGAAGAGAAATTGGCCTCTTATTTACACACCATCATATCCCTGCCAAAATTTCCTGTGCTGTATCAATTTAAAGCTCTTTTCTGTTAATTTCTGCCCTTTATTTTGTATCCAAATCCTGAACGAAGTAAGCAAGAAGTGATTTGACATAGGTTCTCACTAACTAGCTGTGTTAAATGGAGAGGTCAAGTTAAACAGACAGGAATAAGGTGTCCAGAAGTTAATACTATAATTAGATTTGTAAAGTGCATTCTATAAATAAGTAGGAAATTCTTTAAGATGTGTATTCTATAAGATATCCTTTATTACCTGTGTTTTTAACTAGTAGGAGGAGGTGGAGTTAGTGTATGGAGTATGTTAGAACTGAAACAGTATTTTGATTCAGATGTTCTGTAGTAAAATATTGTATTAGTTCAAAAAGCAATG